TTTGCCTTGGAATTATTCCTGTTTAATGTTCATAATCATGTTTAAAGGGACACTATAGTCACCAAAACAACTTTAACTTAATGAAGCAGTTTTGGTGTGTAGATCATGCCCTTGCTCATTTCTCTGCCATTTAGGAGTTAACTCACTTTTGTTTATGTTTATACAGCCCTAGCCACACCTCTCCTGGCAAAAAAATATGGTTTCACTTTCAATCAAATGTTAACTTACTTTATATGTTTTTCATCGCCTGCTCTGTAAATCAAACTATAATCACAAACAGGAGTCTCATGCAAGGTTAGATCTCACATTACAGGAAGTGTATAGGAAGGCAGTTCAAGTCACATGGAGGTAGTTGTGACTAGGGCTGCATACACAAAGTGATTTAACTTCTAAATGTCAGAGAATTGAGCAGCGAAATTGCAGGTATATGATCTATAAATCAAAATGGCTTAATTAAGTTAAAGTTGTTTTGGTGACTTTAGTGTCCCTTTAAATTAACAAAATATATAGGTTTTTGAGCACAAAAGTTAGGAAATTAGTGCTACTTTGATGATTATGTCTAAGTATTAAAGAAGAACATCCAGAATTTTATCTAATTCTTTTGAGGAGCATAACATGCCCAAGAGAATGAAAAGACATTTCACAGAAGCATGTATTAATAGAAAATTTAGTAATATAGTTCTCTAAATTGATCTCCCTTGCTCCCCAACTAGAGAACTGCATGACCTACATCTACTGAAGCTCTTAATTTATACTTGGAAATTCAAAACATATAAATTATAACAGCAAGGAAAATCTTTTATTCTTCTAATTTCTTTCCAAAAATGTATTATTCACAATAGGTTGTAATTAGCCCGAGACTTCAGCATACTTCCTTTGATATCATTTATGAATATTTAGAAGAAGGAATAAAAGAAATTAAATATTGTTACAGCGATTACTGCACTGAGTATGAACTACAGAGGAAGATCATTTTTTCCAAAAGGCTTCAGGCATACACATATACCAAATGTACTAGTAAGTTCATTTTACTGTGTATCTTGCAGAATTGTTGATTTCAGCTTTTATGCAATTGAAATTCACAGATGTGTTAATGAAATAGATTTGGAAAACAAACTCTTGCTGAACTCAGCTCAGTTTTTGAAAATTTTATTTTTTTGTTTTGTTATCTTAGACATCACAAGAATGCTGCTAATCTTTTGTCTCTTGTGCACTTGCGGGCTTAGATGCAAAGGGTTAAATATTGATGCCTACATGAAGAGGTGCACCTAGGATACATGGCACCCAAGTCAGAAATGTATTATGGCACCCCCTCAGCCCCTCCCAAGAACTGTAAAAAAAAAAAAAAGTTTGTGTCTCTCTTTGCACCACCCCCAAAACCCTTTTTGTAAGGAGAGTACACACACATACTGATAATCATATACATATACACATACACATTCAAATTCACACACACTGTACACAAATACAGCCATATACACACAGATACATATACAGAGACAAACACGTTGATATGCATACCTACAAACTCATACACACACACACACACTTGTAAAAAACACATTTATATATACACACACACACACACACACACACACACAGACTCATATACAGACACAGACATTCAGACAATTATATACACACTCATAATTACATCCATACATACATACCAACATTTAACTTTTATTTTAATAAATAATAAAAGAGCTGTTTTCACCTTGACAGAAAGAACTGGAGTGGAACCTCATCCCAGGGGTCCAGTGCGGTGCTGGTATCATTCTCCACTGATTGTCCAGCTCACTGCTGCTCTGTACTGTTGCTCTGGGATAACTTCATATTCCAGCTCCAGCAACAATACGCTGTGCACAAAGGCAATGGGAGATCAGTGCAGAGTGATCTCAGCACCGCAAGTACCCACAACACAGCCACGGAGCATGCACGTGACAAGCAACACCCCCACAAGCGACATGCTGAAAGAGAGGTGTCTGCTCTGTCTGAAGGGGAGTGGGGTGCTGTACACTCCCTGTCGCATGGGGTGGACCACTCCCTGACCCTCTTTCGTGCCTACATGCAAAGCTTTGTTTTCTATTGTGATATGAGCAGGGCCGGTGCAAGGAATTTTGCCGCCCCCCCATGTGACATCACAATGCCCCACCCATATGATCTGCCATATGAACTAACGCCAGTGCTGCACACAGTGTGTGTTTACATCAAAAAGCCTGCAGGGATAGGCTATAGACACCAGAACCACTACATTAAGCTGCAGTGGTTCTGGGGACTATAGTGTCTCTTTAATGTGAGGTAAATTAGAGATTAGTGTCACTAATAATATACTAGATTGTCTACTTACAACCAGATGAGGATGGTGATATGCTCTGGCTGCAGTTTGGCTCCACTGGTCTGGTGTAGAACAGGATCTCTGGAGGCTGTTTGTAACTGTGGTCACAAAATTCAATGTTCTGGCAGAACGGGAAGCAGCTCCATTTTCTGGGGCCTTTTACACAGCTCAAGGTCTGGGCCCCAGGGCCTGACGGTGAGTATGCCCATAAGGCCCACCCATAAGTCCACCTATATGTTCCACCCATGAGTTCGCTCACAGGGAGTGGAGTGTGTAGGGGATGTGTTTTGTGTTATCGTAGAAGTTCTAATGCGTGTGCCTATGGAATGTATAGGGATACCAGTTTGTGTAGGTAATGCAGTATATTTGTGTGTTTGTGTGTAGTGGAAGCAATGTGTGTTTGTGTATAAGGGGTGTATTGTGTGTTTCTGGTTGTGTGTAAGGGATGCATTGTGTGAATCTGTGTTTGTATGCATAAGGGATGCAAGGTGTGTGTCTGTAGGTGTGTGCATTGTATTTCTGTGTGTATGTAAGAGAAGCAGTGTGTGTGTTTGCATGTGTGTGTAAGGGATGCATTGTGTGTTTCTGTGTATGTGTGATAAGGATGCATTGTCTTTGTGTGTAAGGGTTGCATTGTATGTGTGTAATGGATGCATTGTGTGTTTCTCTGTGTGTAAGGGAAGCGCATTGTGTTTCTGTGGTATAGGGATGCATTGTGTGTTTCTGTGTATGTATAGGGATGCATTGTGTGTGTGTGCACGTAGTGTGAAAGAGCTCCCTGTCCTGCCCCCTGTCCTATAGAGCTCTCCCCTGCCCCTTAGTGGTCTCTCCTCTCCCCCCACCTTCCCCTAGTGGTCTCTTCTCATACCCACCCACCCTCACTGTGTTCTTCTCACACGCCCACCCTCTCTGTGTTCTTCTCACTCCCCCTCCTTCCTGTGTTCTTCTCACCTCCCCCTCCCTGTGTCTTCCTCACCTCCCCCCTCCCTGTGTCTTCCTCACCTCCCCCCCCTCCCTGTATTCTCCTCCACCTCCCCTTCCTCCTCACCCCCCCCTCTCCTGTGTTCTTCTCCTCCCCTGTCTTCTTCTCCTCCGCCCTCCCGTGTTCTCCTCATCTGCCTTCTCCTCACCACCCCTCCTGTGTTCTTCTTACTCCCCCACCTCCTTGTCTTCTTCACCTCCCTCCCTCCACTCCTTTAACTGCACTTCTCCCCCTCCCCTCTTCTTTGCTTCCTCCCCCCTCCCATCTTCTTTACTCCGTCTTGTTCATCCCCTCCCTCTTCTTGCCCTCCTCCTCCCCTCTTCTTCTCCTCCCCTCCCCTTCTTCACTTACTTCCCCTCCCCTTCTTCTTACTTCCCCTCCCCTCTCCCTTCTGCCCCTCCCCTTCTTCTTCCCCCTCCCTCTTCTTCCTCCTCTCTCCCTCTCCTTCGCCTCCCCCTTCCCCTTCTTCATTCTCCTCCCCTTCTTCTTTACTCACCTCTCCCCCTATTTTCTTCTTACTCCCCCCCTTTTCTTGTGCTCCCCCTTCTTCTTACTCCTCCTTCTTCGCCTCCCCCCTTTTACTCCTCCCCCCTCTTCTTCTCCCCTCCTCTTCTTCTTCCCCCCTCCTGTTTTCTTCTTACTTCCCCCCTCCCCCTGTTCTTATTACCCCGCCCCCCTGTGTTCTCTACACCTCCCCTTCCCTGTAGCGTAGCCTAGCTCCTCTCCGGTCCGCGGTACAGAAGTTTCTGTTTCCTGTAGCCGGCTGGACTGACACTCAGTGTGCACTTCCTGTCAGTCCGGCCTGGACCGCAGACCAGAGAGGAGCTCGGCCACGTTACAGGGAAGGGGAGGTGAGAGGCAGTGCTGCAGCCGCCTGAGGCTCTCTATAGAGCGCTGAGGCGGCTGCAGCATTTAAAGGGCCGGCGATGGCGGCGCAGGGCGCCCCCTCCTCTGTGGCGCCCTAGGCAGCTGCCTAGTTCACCTTATAGGAAGCGACGGCCCTGGATAAGAGTATTAGTAGAAAGCATATACAATCTAGTTAAGAGCCTGCAGTACAAAGTATTTGTGTATTCTCTGCTTTTTTAATTTGATGCAGATGTTGCGCAGCTTTCACATGCAATTTAGAGTTGTTAGATAAGTCCATATAGACTTTACATGTGATCTAGGGGTTATGTTCTCAAGCCATGCATTCTTGATAGAAAATCGCAACATTTCCATGCAAATTCCACTGAGGTGTTTGTCTGAAACAATTACGTCAAAACTGCATAAATTGTGCTCATTGCCTCAAATTAGCACCATTACTATGCGTTATGAGATGAGGTTGCTAGGCACACTTGCTGGCACAATGGGCTAATGGATGAACATGGTGGGTTATTTAGCCCCCAAAAGGAAAGTCAAACACCGAACGGCAGTGAGAATTATCATGTGGCTGTTAATTGTATGCTATGGCACACTTGCTTGGCAGATTGGCTTGCCCGGCAGGACAGTAAAAAATATTATTTAGTTATGATTTGTACGCCTTACCACACTTACTGGGCACAATTCTATGAGAATCACAGAAAAAAAAACAACTAACTCTAAATACCATAAGGCACACAAAAGACACAAATTCAATACAGCAACTTGCTTACTGGTTTTGGGTAACAAATGCTTGCATCTTCTGTAAAGATATTTAACATTCTAATTACCATTAGCGATTACATTTGCTGAAGATAAGTCATGCCAGCTCCATTCTGTCTGCGTCTGGGCATTTTCGGTTTTACATTCCCTGCCTTTCAGCACAGCAGATGATCTGAAAAAGTCATTAGAAAACAATGTAACTATGTTTGTTTAATTTTTTTTTTATTAAAGGCAGGTATTAACAAGTCACTGGCAAACAAAGTTTTCTATTTTTTGCTGTTTATTTAACAATACCCAAGTCCAATGTCAATGCCCTTCAACAAATATGTGATTTTTCCCTTTGGATACAAGACTCACCAGATGTGTTTATTGCTTGAATAACTTTCTCGGACATGTGAGAAGAATCAAAATGACCAAGGTTCAAATAACATCAAAGACATTACAACAATAATATCCAATGGGAAAAAAAAGTCACTGATATAATATATCTCTGTCATTTTACATTAAAAGTCATAAGACATGAAGTCTAACCTTTGTAGCACTGTAACTCTGTTTCCAGGACTATTTCTCCTGGAAACATTTTTCTTTATATGTTTACCATTTATTGTATAACGCACTTTGACAGAGCACGTTACATTAACGTTACATCACTCCAAGACTGATAACCAGTGAGTTATGGGTAGAATATATTGCGCTATTTAGCTATAGGATATTGATATTATTAAACAAATTATACATTAAAGAGTAGTCACAGTAAGCAAACAAATACTCACAACGGTTTCATATAACAAATGACAGAACAACAACGTTACATTCAATGACAATAATTTAAACAGCCTTGTACAAAAAATTTTAAAAAAACATACACCCTCTTTGAATTCTATGGTTTTACATATCAGGACATAATAACAATTATCTATTCCTTAGCAGGTCTTTAAATTAGGTAAATACAACCTCAGACTAACAACAACACAACACATGGCATATTATACCGTGTTATGATTTATTTAACAAAAATAAAGCCAAAATGGAGAAGCCATGTGTGAAAAACTAAGTACACATTTGCTGGTTCCATAGGAATTAAGAGGCTAGGTAGCAGACAGGTGCAGCTATTCAAATGCCTTTGATTAATTGATCATCAGCAAGTGTGACTACCTCTATAAAAGTCAAAGTTTTAGCAGTTTGCTGGTCTGGAGCATTCAGGTGTGTGTTAACACAATTCCAAGGATGAAAGACAACAGCAGCAATCCTAGAGAAGTAATTGTTGTTGCCCCTTAATCTGGGAAAGGTTATAAGGCCTTTTCCAAACAATTTAAATTCCCTTGAGTGAATATACACTCATCAAAACTGAGTAAGTTACAGTTATGGAAGGTAGTAATCAAGATGATGGTTACAATGATATTGGGAGGGCAGTGTTAAGGAGTATATTGGAATGCTTTAGTGAAAAGGTGCGTGTTTAGGAGCATGTAAGAGGATATGAGAGAGTTTGGCAAATTGGATATGGGGTTAGTGTCTCAACAGACTAGTCCCCCCTTGTGCATGCCATTGAGGTTGACACTGCTCTTCCTAATGCTTGGTTGATTGTATCATGTTAGCATGATCCCTGTTAAAGGTATTCTCTAGTGCCAGGAAAACAAACCCATTTTCCCAGCACTAGAGAATCCTGGAGTGTCCCCCTCCCGCCCCCCATCCCATGTCGCTGAAGGGGTTAAAACTTACCTGAATCCAGCGCCAATGTCCCTCAGCTCTGGGTCAGACTCCGCCCATGCTTTTCCCCCGGCGATGTCCGCCGATAGAGGAGACATAATGCGCATGCGCGGCAATAACTGGGCGCGCCCATTAGACCTCCCCATAGGAAAGCATTATTCTTTTTTTTAAATTGTTCTTTATTAAATTTTCACATACAAAGTTGTATATCAAAGTCATCCAACCACACAACACAAATACATGGTTCATCAGTAAGGACCAAAAACTATTTTTTTTTATCAAGATATAATCTTATATTATGTCTTACATATGAAGCAATATTCTTACAAAAGACAAAAACAAAGACAAAACCTGCGCAACCAAGTAAAAGATAAAGAATTAAACATTAATCCTGTCAGGATAAGAACTCAGCCAAGGATCCCATATTTTTTTTATATAAACCAAATCTTTAAAAAGCCAAAAAATAACATTTTTTCATCAGACAATGAAAATAATTTGATTTACTACAGGTATCAGAGGGATTTCTCGTTTTTTCTTCCACATTCTTGAAATAACCAGTTTCATAGCCATGAAGAAATGAATAATCAAAAATATTCCATTTTTATTAATGTTATCTAAGTTTAGATGTAAAATGGCTTTTTCTGGTGATACCTTAAATTTCAGCTTTATGATATCTGAGATTATTTTAAATAGCTTAGACCAGGTATTATTAACTAGTCTACAAGACCACCAGATATGAACAAATGTTCCTTCACTTACTCCACATCTCCAGCATAGAGCGGAATGATTAGAATCTCTTTTATGCATTCTAGTGTGGACATGATGCAATTTATGCATTATTTTATAATGTAATTCTTGGATATTCAAACAGTGTGTAACTTTCCCAAACTGTATCCAACTTTTCCCCCATGCAATAATATCTATCTCTCTTCCTATATCTTTGGACCAGGCGGTTTGAGATATCGCTTTCTTTTCTTTTTCCATGGTTTTAAAAAACAAACAAACATTAAGCTTTTTTGAAGATGTTTTTATTTGAATGTGTAGCAAAGATGTTCTCTAGCGTTTCCATAACCTTTGGCTTTAATGTAGTTATAAGATGCGCTTTTATGTATTTTTTTAATACTAATCAAATTCTAGTAATACTTACTAGGTATACCAAATTCCATTAATAATTGTTCATAGGTTTTGAGTTGCGAACCTTCTAAGAAATCTGGCATCTTTCAATTTTTATTGTTGAAACACTTCAACTTAGTCATATCTGGAATATTGTATTAAATTATTTCTATATGGGTTTGTTTTATTATTTTATCCTTTAGACCTATGTTAGTCTTCAGTTAGTTACCACTGAATAATGCTTTCCTTCACATAGGTTTAAAGGAAATAATTATTCAATGCTTTCCTATGGGGATTCCGGCGACGCTGGAGGTCCTCGTGCATAGCATAAGGAAGTTCAGCGTCGTTTAGACAACCAAAAGTCGTTCTAGTCACTGTCTGGTAGACAGCCACTAGAGGATGACTTAACCCTGCAAGGTAAATATTGCAGTTTATAAAAACTGCAATAATTACACTTGCAGGGTTAAGGGTGATGGGAGTTGGCACCCAGGCCACTTTAATGAGCGGAAGTGGTCTGGGTACCTACAGTGTCCCGTTAACAGGGATATGTCTACCATATCAATAGTAGAGTGCATTTGTGTTATTTAAGGCAAAAAGCAATAAAGCAGCTAAAGTTCAGCATCTTTCAAAAAATGAAGTTACTTGGTGAGTTGGCTTCCTGATTAGTATAGTAAATGTTGTATTACAATAAAATTTTTGTCTAAATAGGAATATACCTGAATCTGTATTACAATAAGAATTTATCTAAATAGGAAAATACCTGAATTCGCTTTTAGAATCAGTTGATTTGGTTAAGGAGTCTGTTGATACATCTTCTTTAATTCCTGTTGGGGAGAAAGATACATGTGAATTATACATTCTGTAAGACAAGATTCAAATAATTTCAGTTGCCTTTATTTATTTTGTATTAGCAGTTTATTAAAAATGTACTTCCAGTAAAACATTTAAGAATAGTGGGGTTTTTAAACTTGGCATTATGGCATATTCTACAGACAGTTGACACTAAAACAGAAAGCTGAAAGAATTTGTAAATCAATCAGAGTAATGAAAATGTAAACTATCTGTCTGGAGCCAAATTTTATGCAACTAAAACACTCAAATTTGGAAGAGGGAGTGCAATGTTTTTTTTAAAGTAATGATTTGTGCTTAACACACTTAGAGATAAATATTTCTGATGAGAGAAAGTCTATAAACACTTTAGAGTTCCAATATCAGTGTTACTGTATTATGTGAACCTGAATATAAGTTGACCTTCATCTAAGTCTTAATAATGGATCAATAAAATATGGTTATAAAAAGTCTGCAAAGTAAAATTGTATATTTTTATGTTTTCACAGAACATAATGATTACCTGCTAGAAATATTAGAGTCTCTAGGATATTGAGATAAATGAAAGGGGAGGTAATAAAATGATGCTAAGTGAGATGGGAATCAGGTGTGAGTGTAAGAGCCACATCCCTATAAAACTAATACACAACTTGGTACCTGTGTCTGTTATGCTCTGATCTAAAGATGCTTCTATGCGACTCAAATAAAAACTGTTAATATTCGTGTAGTTGTAAAGGTTTATAAAATGATTGCCAAAGACTATGGCTTCCATCAGTCTGTTGGTAGACAGTAAACATATTCACCAACACTGTCACCAGTATCTAAACTCAAGCCAAAGTAATGATTGCAGTGCTCAAATGGGTAACCAGGAGCAGTAGAGTAATAGCAATAGTTAAGCATTTGAAGCATCAATAGCAGTTCTCGTACTGGCTAATGTATACCAACCAACCTTAGGTAAGGAAGTGGGGAGAGGGGCACAGTACCTCTGATGCAATTCATGTCACCTAGGCAATGCCAAAAAAATGTGTGTTTGTCATATGCACATAAGGATGACCCATTAGCCCTTCCAGCGAGTGTAGCAGGGGCTACATATGCAAAGACTGCTACAGAATCACATTGCATGAGCAGAAATACGCTGCAAATTCCTCACATTTAAAAACATGATTTTGCTGCTAATTTTTTTATAATTTTTCAATGGTGTCACCAAAAATGTCACCAGCAAATAAGATCTTGAACAGTCTCATAGATTGTAAGATCGTTTGAGAAAGACCTTCTTCAGCTCATATCTCTGTTAATATTTTGTATGTGGATGGGATACCAGCTACTTTGATACTGACTCTATGTTATTTTCCGGTACGGGCCTCTGTCTTGGCGCATCATTTTACATCTCCTTGTGTCGATGTTGATGCATAACAATTATTATGCAATCCTTCCTGCTTCATTTCTGCGATGAAGATGTCACAAGTTTTGGCATCACAGAAATTACACTGACCAATAGGACGATGTATTGACCCTCCTCTTGACCTGACCTTTACCCTGTTGTGGTTTCCGTTTGGTCTCTGATTAGGGTGTTATTACTCTACTGTAAGCCTCTGGCATTAGACTTTCGCTTGTTTCTCGACTCTCTGTACTGCTGTAATCCTGACCTCTGCCAGTTTACATGAATTCCTGTATTTCTATTATCCTGACCCTGGCTTGTTCTTCCATTTACAATTTATCTCTCTATTAGTATTTAGTCTGATCAATTCTGTAGACTGGTTATATACTCTGCCCTACCTTTCTATATTCTGACCTCAGTTCTGTGTAGTGGAGTATTGTAATCCTGAAAAGTCAATTACTTGTCAAATATCCCCATTATATAATTGTAAAGCATTGCAGCATATGTTGGCGCTATATAAACGTTAAGACTTCTCAGTCTTTTGAGAGGATTCCCGAGTCAATCCTAAAGAAAACATTGAACAATAGATGTCGACATTGAAAGGAGGAAACCACTGCTCTTTCCTATTCAAAAACATTGCTTCCGTTCTCAAGTTTCCCAAACAACTCCCAGAAGAAATAGACAGCAATTGGAGTAATAAGCATAAGTGGAACAGATGACACAAAAGTGGAACTCAACTCAGACTTGAATAATGGTGGTGAGAATATCTTGGTTTAAGATCTTCTTTGCAGCACCAGGACAGAAGAGAATTGCAGCTCTTTAAAAGGAGATCTGAACTGAGGAAAGTCCCTCATGCTGCTAGAACCCAAGGGCACAACCCCATAATTTGCACAAACTAACCTATTACTAAACATAGCTTTCTAATAGTCAATAGCGATTACTCAGACTGTTATTTTATGAATAAGGTGCAAAGTGACCTAACAAGATATAGTACTGAAAATATAGATCTTGAAAACGTCTAATGAAAACCTAGGACACCCACATAAGTCAAAGATATATCTAGAAATAAAAACAGACATAAAGGTATAATATGATTTAGATCTAGTGTCAAATTCATCTCATTTTAACATTTTTGGTAAGATATGGCACCAGAACTGGTGGATAACAATGTCATGCAACTGAAACCAATCAAGTCATTGCCTTGTTAGGATGGTAAGGATTGTACTGAGCATGGGCTACAAGTCAGGCTAGTTTCATTGCTACAGTGCAGGTGCCTAATAGAAAAAGAGAGTCATTAGTAAAAACCTACCATTATCTTCTGCTGATGGTGCTGCAGGACATGTAGAATTTTCCACCAAACTGTCTGTGTTATTTTGACCTATATTCACTGAAGACTGTTTTGTCCTCCTGATGTATTCTTCCACCATCCGACTTTCATGAGATACCTCTTCAACAGATTCATATGCATGCTCTAACTTTGTTACATTTTCCACGGTTAGTTGTGATGCCTCATGATTGGGTTTGTCTTGAGCTGGATCTCTACGGCTGAATGTGTGGTTCGGCATGATCCCTCCAGAATTCTGACAATGTTCTTAGTCTTTGTATATATCAGTCTTTTGTGGTTCCATTGACGTAGGCAGCTTGATACTCTAGCATTCTGGTACAATGAAACAGATGGATAGTCATATTCAAGTATTAAACTAGTTCAGAAATACAATAATGTACAGATCCCTATTTCATGCTGTCTTGCCTAACTCCCTACTTGCCCTTTCAGCTTTCCCTTGAAATGATGCTAAACAAAGTGACAAATGATTCTGGGCATCAGTGGCATTTGGCTTCTCAGGTTCAGATTGTATCTCTCAGATTGTTCTCTCAGCACTTGTGTCTCAGATAGATGCTGTAGATGCTCTATACTCTACTGGGAAAGACTAAGGTTTGGATTTTAGCCCATTCTAAATTTTATTTGGGGGCCAATGATTTGATTCCTTTGTAATCCAATATCATAGAGAATCAGATGACACTTTTTTACATCTCTTCCCGAATGACCTGCTACTTCTTAAAGTTTTGATATCTTAGAAACAGAGCTGTTCATGATCTTCCTTTATCTTCAGTTGCAACAAATATTTCAAAGTAAAACCACTTTTGTAGTTGATAATGTCATAATTTCACCAACTCCCCAAACTTACTAAAACAATATTTTTTTTTTTTTTACTGCTTTAATTAAAGGAAAACCTAAACATTAGAAATCAATACATTTATTTCTGGCATTGAACTGTTCCTTTGTTAGTTTACATTGAGGGCCATCCACTATTTAAAAAAAAAACAAAAAAACTGTGTTGGACCGCCTGGCAATCGATGTTCCTAGTGCTCACCGAGTACTCCACCAGACACCATCAGCACTGTAGTCCCTATTTCCAGCGTTACAGCTTGGTTGGGGTCTCGCTGTCCTCCACCCACCCTGGACTTAAGACCAGGATCCAGCTTCCAGTGGGCCGACCTCTCCTAGTCCAGAGAGCAAAGCAGGCCGCTCTTACAAGAGCATGTGATTATAATACCAGGGGATTAGACTCTATGTTGAGGGCAGGAACTTGTTTATTGGTAGCCACAACTGGCCTTATATGCAAGTCCCCATGAAATGGGCACTCCCCCCTGGACCTGAGAGTAAACTACAGTAGAAACAAATACACAATTACATTGCCTCTCAGATCCAGGACACTCCCACACATATTAGGTTAATCCTTCCTCTGTACCTGGGAGATAATTGAGTCATGATCTGAACTAAACTCAATTATCTCCGGACACAAAAAACCCACATTTTTATAAAACCCGCAAAATATCTTTAAAACATATAAAACCCCCACAAAAGTTACATCCCCTGATATGGGTGACCAACATATCCAAAAATCACCCAGATCAGTTCAGGGGGTCAGGAATTTCTTAGAAGTCTTATTTTTGACCAACCGCACGCATGATCCTATGCCCAAAATAGTTCCATAGAATCACAGCTTGTGGTCGATCTAGTTCGGTAGTTTGGAAAACGAAAAAACTACCGAACATAGTCAATGTTCTTACCCTGGAGCTTGTTCACCTCATCAAGACGAACGATTTCACCGAACAGTGCCCTTCTAAATTGTATAGAACCGAACGCAGTCGATGATGGAAGTCCAGCGGTGTTCGGGAGTTTCTGTGTCCGATTTTAGTTCCATGAGATTCATGCCCAAACACCTGCGTTCATGCGAACAAGATGGCCACCACCTCGTGGTTGTCCATAGCAATTGCGGCCACCCAGATGAACAATTAGACACTGTGGTGAGAACCGTTTCAAGATATTTATAGGTGTTAACAAGATCCCTGGTCCCTGGTTCGAGCGTCTGTTCGGTTCCCGAACAGCATAGCAAAAAGGCACAAACAAAGTCTTTTATGAGCCTTTTTGCATGGCCCATAGTACGGAGGCAGGAGGCTGGCAAACAGGCCCCTCCAAGAACCAGTGGTGAGGTTACTTTCACCACACAAACAAAGTTATTTTTCTATAATGCAACTGCAGTGTTTTAAAGGTTTGGAGTGTTCCTTTAAAAGAACATATGTGGAATCCATGAGCTCTGAATATTAGAGATTATGAAAACAATAATTCCCGTTCTGTAATATTTTGCCTGGATATCCCCTGCCTCGTAATGACTTATATGGATTACTACAATGTCTACCCTTCGTAGTCCTAGCTCCTCTCCAATCTGTCATAAACTTTTATTCTAGACTCATTTACCTCACTCATTGTTCATTATCCGCTTTCCCAATTTCCCATTCTCTCCACTGGCTCTCTTTTAGTTCTAGAATAAAATTGAAAGTTCTGACCCTTACCAACAGAGTGCCAACTAACACTGCATCCACTTTATTGTTCTCCACAAATACTCTTCCATTTGGTGTCTTAATTTTCCCAGGACCTGCATTACTGTTCTGCTCTCTGTTCCCCCCCACTTAATCATGCATTTATTTTCTGTAATCCCTTACCTGGCTCTATCAGACTTCCTCCACATTCCACAACTTCAAATAATCTCACAAAATGTACAAAGAGGGACCCCATGTTTCGAGAGCGTGCATGGATCCTGGCTCACCAAAATCAGTGCAAACAGCAAAAGAGCAAAATGACCTGGCTGTTTAGTCTAAATAATGACATTCACTTGAATTTCCTGCAATTCTAATTTTAGTGAAAAACCCTGAAGATGCAAATAAATCTGTTCTCATAAAAAAACTTTCTTCTTGTTGAATAGAATCTATGATAGTCTAAAAAAACAACTTTAATTTACTGAAGCAGTTTTGATGTCTAGAGCATGCCCCTGCAGTCTCACTGCTCAATTCTCTGCCATCTAGGCGTTAAATCACATTTGTTTCTGTTTGTGCAGCTCAAACCACACCCCTCCTGGTTGTGATTTGCAATTTCCCCCCTTTGATTATTCATTGCCCCCCTGTGCCAGTGCTTTGGGGGGGAGGCGGTAGAAGTTTGACACTAGGTAAACTGGGCAGAGAAGGCCCCTGCATTCCCATAGAGCAGGTGAAACTGCTATGTTTACATTGCAGGTGAAACTACTTTCAGAGAAACTGCTATGTTTACATTGCAGGGTTCATCCAGCCTCTATTGGCTGTCTTCCTGACAGCCACTAGAGGCGCTTCCGCGACACTCAATGCGAAAATCGCATTGAGCACGCAGAATGTCGATAGGAAAGCATTGAGTAATGCTTTCCTATAGGCGGTTTGAATGCGCATTCGGCTCCACTCGGGCGCTGACGTCGGAGGGGGAGGAGAGGTCACCGGTGCTGGATTAAGGTAAGTGGCTGAAGGGCTTTTAACCCCTTCAGCCCAACAGGAGGGGGGCCGTGAGGGTGGGGGGGGCACCACCTAAGGACTACATAGTGCCAGGAAAACGAGTTTGTTTTCCTGGCACTATAGTGGTCCTTTAAATATTTTGCACAACTTCTTGAACCGTGATGCATTAATATTCCTCTGCCACATATCACCTTAATGAAAAATGTAATCTAATAAGAGCTCCTTATCGCAGAGAACTAGACCATGGTTGGTGTCTGCAGGCTTAACTGACTAACAGTGTATGTCGTTTAAAGGTGCTGCTTCATATGTTCACCCAGGCAAGGACTGACCATCAAGCAGACCAGGAAACATGCATTGTGGGCTGCCATGGCCATAGACCGATGCAGACAGGTGACATCAAAGGATCACCCCAACTGCTTGTGATGGCCCATATAGAGGCTTTGGGGCTGGTCGGGAGAACATAGGCCACCCTTACTGGCCAGATTACTGGTATGAAGAGGAGCCCATGCAACTTGCAGTCTGCACCCCCAGATTGCATGAATTGCACCACCCACTGCTGTGGATTGTCACTGCTGAATGTTCTGAAACTTTCCAGAGCCTCACCCCTATTCACGTGGCCTGCACCCAACAGGAGTGCAGACCAATACTTGAGCACAAGCAAAGGGGATTCCCCCCTCCAAAGACCAAGGTATAAAAAAGGGAGGGGAGAATAAACTAATAATAATAATACTAAAATGATAAAAATACAAACCCTTTCCCCCACACTATAGCCACTATCACCCCACACCCGATTCCCTCTCCCCCACACTGTGTGCTCCACACACAACATCCTTTATTTCCCACACACATACTACAGCACATTTTTCCCCAAACCCACAGTAAAGCCTCAGCACACCCACACACTACAGTTTGTTTCCCCCCCAAACCCGCATTACAGCCTCTACCACCCAAACACTACATCCCTTATTCCTCTGTGCAAACACACTACAGCACCTTTCTCCACACACTAGCTCAGTTAGATATAGGATTACACTTTTTCTACTCATTCTCAGATTTATTTGTGGCTTGTTTTTTGGACTCTTTAAAAACATGTTTTTTACCACTTTACTGGTTTATATACAGCTACAACATCTCTAGCATGTGAAAGAAAACAAGTAACTTCTAAATAAGAAAGCAATTTTTCTTCAAACAAAGCTTATAACTTGCTGTGGCTAATATCACCATTCAGCCTGTTTCCACTTACATTTTGCTGACACACAATATCTCAGTTAAGGTTGGTTGTTTATCAAGGTGGAAATATTACAAATTGAAAGGAATGACCTATTCATTCTTCTCATAGCAAAGCTACGTGGGTTTTGTTCACTAATTAAAGGCAAGCTTTCTTGAGTTCTAAACTCACAGGGTGATAGATTAGAAGCATCCGCGGAAATATCTTCTTCAGGAACATGTATTGCACATACTCAGACTGTGAGAAAATCCATAATGGCTTCATTTCTCCTCATATACGGGGGAATCTATCAAGGCATAAACATAGTAAAATCACCATGGAAACCAGGAGTTCTCTCAATATTACCACTTTGCATCCAAAATAGCCCCAGTTTTGCCTTGATAAATCTCTCCTGTTGTTTTATTTATTTACTCCTTGAGAGAAAATGTCATTCGAGACAATAATTCCTTTAAATTTTTTGAATTCTTTTTCTTCCAGGGTCATTTAACTGTAGAACTAACGTAGATGCAATAATAATAATAATAATAATGATAATAACAATAGCAATTATTCTACTACCTGTACTTATAGTAATTTGCAATAATCCGAGACACAATGCATCCGTATTTAACTGATCACAAATTCCGGATTGCATGTCAGGCAACAGTATCTCTATGGTCATATTATGTCACAAGAAGTGACTAATACATGTCCCTAACTATGGATATGTGTTGTTGAAATTATGCCCAAATTTGACACAAATCAGTTCAGACAGTTACAGACATTAAGATCTTAACATTAGACCGCCCTAAACAAATTAGAAGAGTTCTCATATAAATGGTTTGGAATCCAAATCTGGTACCAAACAGCAGTGGAGGCTGGTCCAAAATGGCAGACGGGTGTGTGTGTTAATAAAAATAATGTTGTGTTAGTTTAGCAGTTTCCTTCACTCATTATTGATGACAGGAGAGACTGAGAAACTAATATAAACATTCAGAAAAAGCTTGAAGGTGAAAATAGACATACGAATCAGCATCTACACTCACCTTGAACATACTATAACTCCCACTAACTGGAAGTCCCAATACTGGGTGTGGTAATGTAGCACTAGAAACCACATAATACACTGCTCAAAAAAATAAAGGGAACACTTAAACAACACAATGTAACTCCAAGTCAATCACACTTCTGTGAAATCAAACTGTCTACTTAGGAAGTAACATTGAGTGACAATCAATTTCACATGTTGTTGTGCAAATGGGATAGACAGCAGGTGGAAATTATAGGCAATTAGCAAGACACCCCCAATAAAGGAGTGGTTCGGCAGGTGACCACAGACCACTTCTTAGTTCCTATGCTTCCTGGCTGATGTTTTGGTCACTTTTGAATGCTGGCGGTGCTTTCACTCTAGTGGTAGCATGAGACGGAGTCTACAACCCACACAAGTGGCTCAGTTAGTGCAGCTCATCCAGGATGGCATATCAATGTGAGCTGTGGCAAGAAGGTTTGCTGTGTCTGTCAGCGTAGTGTCCAGAGCATGGAGGCGCTACCAGGAGACAGGCCAGTACATCAGGAGACGTGGAGGAGGCCGTAATAGGGCAACAACCCATCAGCAGGACCGCTACCTCCACCTTTGTGCAAGGAGGAACAGGAGGAGCACTGCCAGATGATCTGCAAAATGACCTCCAGCAGGCCACAAATGTGCATGTGTCTGCTCAAACGGTCAGAAACAGACTCCATGAGGGCCCGACGACCACAAGTGGGGGTTGTGCTTACAGCCCAACACTGTGCAGGACGTTTGGCATTTGCCCGAGAACACCAAGATTGGCAAATTCACCACTGGCGCCCTGTGCTCTTCACAGATGAAAGCAGGTTCACACTGAGCACATGTGACAGACGTGACAGAGTCTGGAGACGCTGTGGAAAACGTTCTGCTGCCTGCAACATCCTCCAGCATGACCAGTTTGGCAGTGGGTCAGTAATGGTGTGGGGTGGCATTTCTTTGGGGGCCGCACAGCCCTCCATGTTCTCGCCAGAGGTAGCCTGACTGCCATTAGGTAAAGAGATGAGATCCTCAGACTTGTGAGACCATATGCTGGTGCTGTTGGCCCTGGGTTCCTCCTAATGCAAAACAATGCTAGACCTCATGTGGCTGGAGTGTGTCAGCAGTTCCTGCAAGACGAAGGCATTGATGCTTGGGACTGGCCCGCCCGTTCCCCAGACCTGAATCCAATTGAGCACATCTGGGACATCATGTCTCGCTCCATCCACCATGCACCACAGACTGTCCAGGAGTTGGCAGATGCTTTAGTCCAGGTCTGGGAGGAGATCCCTCAGGAGACCATCCGCCACCTCATCAGGAGCATGCACAGGCGTTGTACTGAGCCTCATTTTGACTTGTTTTAAGGACATTACATCAAAGTTGGATCAGCCTGTAGTGTTTTTTTTCCACTTTAATTTTGAGTGTGACTCCAAATCCAGACCTCCATGGGTTGAAAAATTTGATTTCCATTTTTAAATTTTTGTGTGATTTTGTTGTTAGCACATTCAACTATGTAAAGAACAAAGTATTTCAGAAGAATATTTAATTCATTTAGATCTAGGATGTGTTATTTTTGTGTTCCCTTTATTTTTTTGAGCAGTGTTTATTCTCAATAACACATGGTCATTTTGCAGTGTTTTCTCAGTTATCCTAGAGAAACAGCACATACAATAGAGAATGTAACACAGCTGGACTCTGGTCCTATATTCCAAATATATCCCATATATCTGGTCCCAAATCCAAGACAATGAAAACATGAAAACAAATAAAAAATATATAAGACCACAGGAAAACTAGTATGCACTACTGGTCGAACAAACCAGTTATAGAATAAATATCCTTACATAATTCCTCAATTACCTGAAATATATCAATAAACGTCTGTTTATGGGATATAGTAATGTTAATCACTTTTACTCTATGGTGTGAATTTTTTTTTTAGCTTTTCCTGAAAAATAATGCACAGTTATTTATATTCAATAAATCTCAATAAATAATAATAATTACTTTTCTATGTCACTACCCCGTGAGGTCTTTGTTTTCTTTCCTTGAAAGAAAAGGAAACATAAAATGTATGTATAAATAGCAAGATGGTCTCATACAGACAGATTATCTGTGTGTGAGACAGTAGAGGAATATCTACTGCTCATAAATACATTTAATCTGTGTTTGAATATTAATAAAGTGGTATGCACAGTATATCATTGTTGCCCTATACATTAGAATGAATTAAGAGCTTGTGGTGGGGAATATAATTGAAGATGTTCTCAAGAGACCTTTTATTTTAGTTTCAAATGCTATAAATTAAACTGATTGATGAAAAAATGCCAAACGCAGAAAGTTCCTAGGCATTCGTTTTAATTGAAAGTATACAGAATATGTAGCAGATCCCCTAAAGAAATTGTAATGTAGTTCAAAGTAACGGTAGGAGGCTGCTCATTTAAATACTGTGTGGATAAGAACAGTTACATGTGAAATAAAATCCATGGTATGTTGGATAAAAAATATGAAAAATCCCCTAAATGCACACTGAATCACACTGGATTTCTGTACAGCTAGCTTAGTATTTTCTCCATGGATGACTTACTCTTTGCATCAACCAACTCACCATGGCAATCACATTTGACATGTTTGTTAGACTCAGCAGAAGTACCTTAATTTATCAAAGTGCGGGTTAGACTTAGGGCATTTCCCATGAAAGGTAAAAATAACAATAATCTTCAGCTTGCTATGTTATGTAACCATTAACACCTTGAAGACTAAATTATTAAGCAGCACAATGCACATGCCATAGTCATAGGGCATAGGCACATATAGAGTTAACCCACAATCTTTGAAAAGGTCAATTTATATTTGCAGGGCTCTAAATCTGTTTGTCTCAATAACATGCTTTCCTTTTATTCTTTTCCTTTGTTCCCTTGGTTTGATTCATGGTTGTAACACCTATTTGTATTCCTTGCATACTTGGGAGACACACTTTATGATTTTCTTCGTTGAACGAAGCACCACTGCAAGAAGGCCTTTTTATAACAAGAGTTGTTTAGTTTCCTTGTTAAAGTCTACAAAAGATCGTTATTTTTTTACAAGAGTGTTTTAAGGACTGGAGGTTTTAACTGCTAACTGTAAAATGTAGCCCAAAACATCAGCGTATGGAAAAATAGCTCTGTTGGAGAGTTTATGGGCTAGGTTTGAGAATTTTTAGAGAATGAGTGGAACATGAATAGAACATGCAACAAAAGTAAAAAGAAAGTGAAGTATATTATGGCTGGTTCCATATGGAAAGGTCCACCAACATTCTCATATAATGGATACATTGGAATTGAAATAGTGAACACCATGATTTATATAGCAGGGCACATCTTTAATTACATAATCACTGAGTATAATTTCAAAGAGGTACTTTCTTTTTCCCATGAGGGGTATATATATGTATATATATATATATATATACACACACACACACAGCACCTGTCTGTTACTTAGCCCCTTAAAGGACCACTATAGTGCCAGGAAAACATACTCGTTTTCCTGGCACTATAGTGCCCTGAGGGTGCCCCCACCCTCAGGGACCCCCTCCCGCCCAGCTCTGGAAGGGGAAAGGGTTAAAAACTTACCTTTTTCCAGCTCTGGGCGGGGAGCTCTCCTCCTCCTCTCCCTCCGATCCGCCCGCGCCCGGCTGAATGCGGCAGCGGCAAGAGCTGCAGCGCGCATTCAGCCCGTCGCATAGGAAAGCATTTACAATGCTTTCCTATGGACGCTTGCGTGCTCTCACTGTGAAAATCACAGTGAGGAGCACGCAAGCGCCTCTAGTGGCTGTCAATGAGACAGCCACTAGAGGATTAGGGGGAAGGCTTAACTGCTATAATTATGAAAAAATGGGTTAAGCCTAGAAGGACCTGGCACCCAGACCACTTCATTAAGCTGAAGTGGTCTGGGTGCCTAGAGTGGTCCTTTAATTGCTATGGAAGCAGTAAGGGTGTACTTAGTTTTTCACACATTACTTCTCCATTTTGGCTTTATGTTTGTTAAAGAAATCATGACATGGTGTAATAGGAATCATAAGCACACTAGCAAATCTAAAACAGAATGACTGAAAAAGTGCAGGATCATGGTGTTGCAATGGCCCAGTCAAGTCCTGACCTCAACCCTATTGAAATGATATGGTGGAACCTTAAGAATGCATAAACAATTGCTAGCAAAGCTCAGTGAACTGAAACAATGTAAAAGAAGAGTGGGGCAATATATATATATATAATTACATAGCAGAATATAAATTGAACACTGAGATGTGTCTCACATACTCCTCACTGCACTCAATGTTGTC